TTTTATGCTTGCAGGCCACGTTTTATTTTCAAAATGCCGCGTGTGGTGCCCGATCAAAAGGCTAAATTTGAAAGCGACGAACTATTTCGTCGCCTCAGCCGCGAAAGCGAGATACGCTATACTGGCTATCGCGAGCGTGCTTTGGAGGAACGACAAATGCGTTTCCACAACGGTTGTCGCGAGGGTCATACCGAGATCTCGTTCGTTGCATCGGGCACCAATCTGCAGCTAGTTTTCAATGCAACACAGAATCCGTACTTGCACGATAAAGAGTGCGACTTTGACAAGGAGCACGGTAAAGTGTACATAAAGTCGTACTTCATAATGAATGGTGTGTGCGTACGTTTTCGTGGTTGGCTAGACTTGGAGCGTTTAGATGGTTCGGGCTGCCTAGAATTCGATGAACGACGTGCTATGCACGAAGATCAAATATTGCGGGAGCAGATCGAAAGATACAATTTAAGGCTGCGAGAATTTGAAGACTCAAAACGTGCATATCGTGATAGTCGACCAGAAGTAGATATGGAAGCTGTACGTCGTGGTGTGCCCTCAGGTGGCATTGGTGTAGGGGCTAGTATGTGGCGGCGTTAAATAAGGCTTAATGAGTTTGGAGAGAGGAGCGAAAAGATCCATTCACTATAAAAAAACTTGTAAGAGTGTTGTGGTTAAGACTAAATATAAACCAAACTAAATACTCGAATATTCATCTAATGCTTCAATCAACAATTCAATCAATTATCAATAATTATTATGTACTAATTAAATTTTATTGATTAAAATATAAGCATAAGTTGTGGCAGTTGATATTCAAACTTTTACTATTATTAAGTTAAACCTACTTTTGTATTATTTCGTACACTTTTGCTTTACCTATATTTTTTAATTAAAGTTTCTTGTACGAGTAAAATTATCCAGGAGTAGTTTTTAGTTTATTTTATTTGAAATATAGGTTAGGCTGCTATGTGTCAGCAATACAGAATTTTATAATCGTTTAGTTTTTGTTTGTTGAGAAAGTTGCGTGTGATTTTCTTACAAACTTTGCTTCTTTTTTCGACAGTTTTCTTCTTCATATACGAGGAAATTGCTTGAGCGCCTGTCGCACTGCGACCGGCACTGGTTGTTGCTATAGTTTTTGTATTCAAACCGCCGGACCAAGGAGTTCTCTGATTTATTCCCCGCTTGGTTTCTTTTTCAGTGGATACGGAGATTTCATTATTCCAAAATTATTTTTATGACTTTCGCCACCTTGCCATCATTTAATAATATTAACTTATTGATAGTGATTACATTCGGTCCAGGCCGGTTAACCTGACACGCGTTGTTGTTGTTGTAGCAGCATACAANAAGGAGTTCTCTGATTTATTCCCCGCTTGGTTTCTTTTTCAGTGGATACGGAGATTTCATTATTCCAAAATTATTTTTATGACTTTCGCCACCTTGCCATCATTTAATAATATTAACTTATTGATAGTGATTACATTCGGTCCAGGCCGGTTAACCTGACACGCGTTGTTGTTGTTGTAGCAGCATACAAATTCCCCAAAGAGTTTTTGGGGAGTGTTGCTGGAGTGACAGTCCTTGGCCAAATATAAATCTGGGTCGTTCCGGTTACGTAGACCCGACTGTCGTGGGAACGCCTGACACGCTTGAAGGCGTCGTCATATAGATGGTTGAATAATTTTAAATGCTACCTGTTCACTAACGATTAAATTAATGCGTAAAAGTGTTTTATATCTTACTTTATTTAATATTTTCGTACAGGTTAAATATGTCAGTTTTAATGGAATATGTTTAACATAACATTAAAGTTTGTAATCGACAAAAACACATCTTCATAAAAATTTCTGGTATATGTATGTATAAAGTTATGAACTAAAATTAACGGTGTGCTTCAATGCACTTCTTTAGCGAAATTGCAAATTCGATATGCGCAACCCAATACTGTCCTTGCCAATTTGACTCACTTCACAGACGGTGCAAAGCTGTCCCTTGTATTGCGTATCGAAAGAGGCACCACAGAATGGGCACGTCACCTCTGGTTTACCGCGGTATAACGGCTTATAGCTTATACCACAAATGTTAAATGGATTGAACTCTTCATACTGCAATTGGTGCTCGTCTATGGGATTAACTTCACAGGCCTGCAAGATTTTGCGTACTTGTTGTGCGACTTCTGGTCGTG